AGATGATTTACATTCTGTGTTAACTTTACTTGATGATCTATTAAAGCGCAAAAAAATAACGAAAGATCAATGTTAACAAATATATACAAATCTAAATACATTAGAATTTGCTCATATTTATTTCAATCTTAGAGTACATAAGGTAAAATCGTTAGTTTGTTATCTAAATATTTTTTCTATCATACGTTTCTTGTGGCCTGAACTATCAGTTTGACCTATTCTTGCTTCAATTAATGCATCTGCTAGACAAATATCCAGTTTTCTTGATCAACTTCTTACTCCAATTTATAATCATGTGACAAAAGATATTACATTCATCAATGGTATAGATCTCACCTGAACAACATTATCTATAACTTTTCATGTTGCTGATTTATACACAATGATACTACATGATGGCCCTATTGCTGCTTTAACGCGATTCTGTAAAAACTATTCAATAAATGGAAACATTGGAAATCTCAAAATATAAACTATGATTCAATTAGCATTTGTTGTTTTAGATACCAATTCATTTGCTTATAAAGATAAGTATTATCGACAAATTAAAGCGTATGATGCCTTATTTGAATTTCCGGTAGGTTATCTCATTTTCTGTTGATGGATATAGAGGAGATATACGAGATATTGATTAATTGGTACAGATGATCATTCGATTGTATTTGAATTTAAACATCTGTTCATTAAATATATTGGTGTCACTTGTCAACCCTTGCTCGAAAAACTCAATTCCTATACCTTCTATATCTTGATAAACAGGAAGCTATAGGGATGTCCGGAAATTCAAATAAGGCATCTAATCAATTAAATATGGTGCCATGGGTTCACCATTTACTATGGTTTTAGCAAATATTTATATGTTAGAATGGGAGCAAAAATTAATTCAACACCAAAATAGACATCATGAAATTTATGGACGGTTAATTTTGCATTTATTAGTTACTTTTTTTTACTCTAATAATCATAAATATTTATAGATATATTGACGATGTATTTATGACAACTAATTTCTCCAAAGAAGATATTCTGAAAGAACTTGATGAAACCATTAGAACAGATTCAAATGTTAAAATTACTACTACTATCAGTCAATCATTAGAATATCTTGATGTTACTATTGAAAATAATAATGGACATTTAAAGATATCTATTTATCATAAATCAGCTTCAGAACCCTATATTCTACCTTATGAATCTGATCATCCAAGACACATTCATGCGAATATAATTTATACTGCATTAGTGCAAGCTGCACGTAGCTGTTCCACTATGGAAGATTTTGATATGGAACGATTAAGTACGGAAATGATATTACTATATAGTTAAAGGTTATCCACCAAAATTTATACAACATCATATAAAAAACATTCTTTGTTAAATATGATTCTATGAGTGTATGGACTGAATTAAACAGTGAAGTCTATCAACAACTACATAATATGTTACTTTACAGACCAACACAAAGAGATAACAAAACACAAATCTCGAGTCTTGGTCAATTAATTGGAAAAACGAAAAACTATGAACATAAAGATCAAATTTATCTTCATTACACGTTCGAAAATGGACCATTATTAAATTTCAAAAAAGAATAGCATTAAATATGGCAAAATTTCTGTTTATCCAGGATCATATTTCAAAAATACACGACCAATTCTTGGTACAATATTAAATCGTACTTTACAAAGTCTTTTGATACGCAGATAACCTTCACAAGATATGTTGACCAGGATGCAACCAATCACAGAAGTAGCTCGTACAACAATGAAAGAACGGTTTAATCATTAACATTTGTTTCATTCAGGCATCTCAATTGTGAAGAGTGTTTCCTTCTTGTTTGTTCGCTTCTTTCTCAGTTTTGTTCTCAATAGAGGATATTCTGTTATTATCATTAGATCTTGTTACTAGATAAACATTGTTTTTTTCTTCCTATTTATTTTTCTCTTAAATACGTGCAACATGTCGAATACGACCATTTATTACATTTTTCATTATTTAAGCTCAAATATTTGACCATTGAACATGTGAACCGGTACCGTCTTCTAGTTCATGTTTTAGTATTTTTCCTTTTCCTTTCTTTCATTCGATATATGTTCACTTTGAAACCAGTCGCATTTCATACTTTCATATATTCTAGATACATACTAATCAACACAATATCTACAAACAATAATCGCAAACACGTAATAGCAATATATAAGGAATCACTGTAAGCAAAACATAGTTATGACAAAACTGATGAGTGGCCCTTAAGCAAGACTGAAACGCGTCGTAAGGATGCTTGGTAATATAAAAATTCAATTTTATACACACTCACAATGAACCAGATTATACAAAAGAATACCGATGCCCCACACAAACAATTTT